GCTGCCACACAACCCTGAAAAGAAGAATATTTCCCAAATGGCCAAATCACCCAGCAGCATCAAATCCAGATGTTCCAATCAGTTGAATTGAACATCCCAACACAACGCATTACTTTTGAGCGAGCGCTGTGGCAGAATCAGGCCCAGGGAGGGAGGGCGATTATCTGCCGCGACCGGTTGGGGTGAGAGTAAAGGCAAACCTCATCTTAAAAGTCGACACAGGAGAAGAGCCTCGTTCTAGTTTTGGGAACTCCGTAAGCCACTAGTAAGGGAAGTGCTCTATTGGGATAATATGGTACAATCAGTTCTTTAAGATACGACGGAGCACATTTTTAAAAAGCTAATGTTGTAGAAATATGATGTTTGGATCAACTTGTGGCTTTTCACTGCGTTATTTTGATAATAAGGCATCACGATAATCCAGAGTAGAAGTACTGAATGCATGGAATAGTTTGTCAGCCTCGCTGTTGTGGAGTCAGTCAAACCGTCCTCCAGCTTCTCTGCAGTCACGTGAGGAGTTTCTTTGGCTTCCCGTCCAGCAGACGTGCAGTTTTACCCGAAAGCTCTCGTCTTGACTCCCACTGCTTCCCTCAATTGCTGTTTCCTAATGATATTTCAGGCAGTGGAAATTGCAAGCTGGAAGTTCTTTGCTTTTCTTTTTATAGCCTTTCCCTGCGTTGCAGGCATCAATTTTAGCTCGTCAGACTGGTTGAGAGGGTTGAACAGTCGGAGTCAGAGGCAGGTCAAGGATTGTTCCGATGCTTCGTCAAGCTCTGGAGCAATTCTCGACCTGCTTAACAAATCCTAACCAGCCGAGTACGGTTGATGAAGTTCTGATGCCTTGCGAGAAGTACATGTGGCTGAACTTGTGCACGTGCCACAACTGCTGTTTTTCTTTTCTATTGTTAGGTGCATGAAAACGTAAAGCAAAACTGACTTTTGAATGCCTACATGCTGCAAATGTATTTTCAACAAAAGCACATATTCACATTTCATCAGTTCTGGATGTAACAGTTGTATATTATTGTACAGAGTGTGTGTATGAATATGTATGTTAAACTGCTTACACAGTCCTCTACGGTTTAGCTGGACATGTGTTTTATGTATCAGGTCGCTGTTTGTTCTGAACACAAAGATCGGTTAAACCAATCAGCCTAGATTCTACAGAGACAACTTCTGTGTTAAATCCGCAAAACGGTCGAATTAACCTGCTTCTTCTGATCGGTAGGGACCTTCTGACTCCCGCAGCGGAAGCCTGGATGCACCTTCTATCATCAAAGAAGCCCAGTTGTAGACGTAAACACTAATGCAAAGGTTTCAGACGTGACCTCTTTCCTGTTACAGTGTGAAGTAGTGAGAGTTAGGGAGGGTTAGATACACTGTCGTTCTAGGGAAAGTTAGCTGCACTAGGTTGTACAACTGAATAAGCTCATGAAATTAACCGATCAGAGATATTTTTTATATATTTAAGTGTAAATTAAGTGCTCTCACTAAATCAGCAAGACAAATCTGTGAAACGTTCTGCCGCTGCAATTTTATCTGTCAGTATTTTTTAAAGTTGATCATGTGACGCATATGCAAAGATAGTTAATAAACTGACACAGTCGTATTTACCCAGGTGAATACAGCGTGCATATTTTTAGGATTAATCCTGGTAGATCATAGAAGGATTTCTAATCCATGGTGGTCCACTATAAGGGACTTTTAAAGGAAGAACAAGAAAACATACTGATGAGCTTTAGCTGTGTAGTTGTACTATATTTGTAACACCATTCATGTGTTTAACATGAAATAAAACACTTTTGTAAAGTTTCATTTCCTTGTTTTGTGTCCTGCTTTGCATTTCAGTGCATCTCATGTTGGAACTGGCAATTTTAATGCATTTCCTCAAACAGACCCCAAACATCCAGCCAGAGTCATGCAGAGCTCGTTTAATAAGACGTCCTGCAGCAGATGCTATAACCCCCACAGAGACCTGATCTCAGTACAATGTGGGGCTACAGGAGCAGACGACAGACAGTGAGACAGCTCAAATCCACTGTGGTAAATGTCCAAGATGTCTCCATCAGCCCACCTGGAAGCACCTTGAAAAACTGTACACGTGTATTTGGAGTGCTGGTGCTGTTTTTGTGTGTGTGTGTTTACGAGCAACGTGCAGGATAAAGTGGCTTCCAGAGGTGAGATTGCAGATTGCACCTAACAGAAAACTCCTCATCCACTTTTCAAGCATGTGGCAGAAGCTACTGTGGGCTCTGATAACTTGGAAAATATAAAACTACCTTTCTAGAGCCAGTGTTTTGTTTGCCCTCTCTGGGGTAGTGTAGGAACAGGCACTGCAACGTGGTAGATGTAAAGAACTCTGAGGTAACTAAGACACAGTGACACTTATTTTCAGGGGAATTAAAACACAATTACCAATATTACATCCATTTCTGCCGATAGATCCCTTTACGTCCTCAGTCACTAGACATCAAGAGGCAAAAGATTTAGTTTAGATGTTTTTTCTGTTTCAGGAATTTCCTGATAAATAAAAACTATTAGCAACACTTTTATCATCCATTGATCTTCAAACCCTTCTTGAGGTTGGAGATGTCCATCTCCCCAGCTCTCCAGCTCCTCCTGGGGGGTCCCAAGGGGTTCCCAGGCCATGATGAGATATGTAGTTCCTTTCAGTGAGTTCTGGGTCTGTCCTTAGGTCTGCTCCCTGCTGATATACATCCAAAGGATGGCACCCAGGAGGCATCCTGATCAGATACCTCAGCTGACTTCGTTCGACCTCCGGATGTCCAAGCTCCTCCCCTTACCTCTAAAGAAGAACCACTTTCGTTCACTTGTGTCCATGATCTCATTCTTTTGGTCTCTACCCAGAGCTCATGACCATGGCTGAGGGCTGGAATGTAGATTGACAGGTAAATCGAGAACTTCACCTTCCAGCCCTGCTCCCTCTTACAACAACAGCACAGTACAACACCCACATTACTGCAGAGGCAACCACGACCCATCCGTCTGTCTTCATGCTTCACACTAGAGTTCTCCAGCAATCGTGAAGAAGATCTCAAGACACTTAACTTCCATCACTTGGACACCACCTTCCCCCCGACCCAGAGGAAACATTCCACTGGCTTCCGGCCTCCGATTCGGAGGTGCTGACTCTCATCTCGGCTGCAAAGCGCCCCAGTGGGTGCTTCAGGTCCTGATGGAGCCATGAGAACCACAAACCGGACACCCTCTTCACCCAACTGTGTTATGAGATCCTGTCCATGAACTTTGATCATAAACTGCTCACAATACTTGCACAGGACTGCGTATCAATCATCATGTCAGGATGCAGATGGCGATGATTACAGTGTGAGGTTTATTTAAGACAAAGTGCACTGATAGCTTTCAGTAGGAGGGCTTGAGGGGCACATATCTTTATCTCCTCACAGCATGAAGTCATGCTTAAGATGTTGATGAGAAGATGAAGTCGTATGCAGGTTATGTAGTAGCTGATGTAACTTGTTCTGGGATGGATAAATAAACCGGCACATAGATGCAGATAATGTTTCAGTCATAACAGACTGAAGGTACTGAATCAAGTCGTGGTTCAGAAAGATGCAGTTTAAACAGATTAAAGGCAGGATGAAGGTAAGCAGAGAGCATCGTGTTATCCAACCTCCATCTAATATTTCTAACAACAGCAGCATCTGCTTGACTCCACTGTGGACCAAAAAGCAAAATCTTCACACCTGCATCCATGGAACCACTCAGGGTTCTGCTCTTTACTGTGATTTCATTTTTTAATAAATGGAGGGCTGTGTGTCCCTAATGCGGCCACATGGTGGCGGCATTGTAACGCACAGCACAAACTTCTAATGAGCACGAAGACCCTGAAGGATTCAAACGAGGGGCAGAAGAGAAACAAAAACAATCCAGGTATGCTGGTGATTTACAGTCATTTTGTTTACCGTGTTCGACTCTGAACGGTACGGATTAGCCTGAGAGGAAGGAAAGTGTTGCTCTGAATAAACCATGTTGACAATATTGAACTTGTCACTGGCATAAAGAGATAAACTCGCCTCCGAGCGGTTCAGTTATGAGATCATCCTGACTTAAGGCCAGTACTGAGAGAGCAGTTCCCATTTCACTGATTCTCTGATGATCTCATTGTTCTCTAGTTAGCCTGTGACTGATCCTTGGCATACCGTGGGCTGGTTTTTAAACTTTTTGTCATGAGTTTTTCCTGGTACTACAGGTTCATCGGCACACGGATCTGTGGAAATAGCACTCAGTCGTAGTATTTCAGTCTCCATAAACGCAAAATCCATCACCTCATGCTTACAAATTAGTTTTACATCTGCTTCCAGTCACTCGGCAGCAAATGAAATGCTGCTTTTACTATTTTAACAAGTTTGTTGAGCTGAGTAATGGGATGAGTAAGATGCAGCGAGAGGTTTTGTCGGGATGTGAAAAAAGAATCCGTCGTGTCGACACTCTTTACACCACACGGCAGAGATTCATTCATGTTGTGAGCTTTGTGAATGTGACATGTATGAACCGTAGGTAGGAAGGTCACGTGATGATGAGGACGAGCAGGGTGTGACCTCCTGCTCGCCAGGGAAACTCCTCATGCTCTGCCCACCCACGTGTACGAATGATGTTTGAATAAGGCCCCTTGTATGCGTATGACATTTCAGAGCTGCTTGGAAGAACTTACTGTATGTGCAGAAAGGTTTGGTCTCATGGTTTTTTTTTACCGGGAGCGTTTGCTTGTCTGTTGCCACTTGTTTGACTCATTTATTTTTCTGCTCTGAAACCCAACAAGCTTAATGCTGTAAGGTTAGACACGAGTATAAAAGAGGTTTTGTTCAAGTTTGGGGATTTGTTGTCGGGCTTGTAAGGAAGCAACAAGTCTTCATTTGCTGAATACTTAGCATAGCATAACAGACAGATAAACAGAGAACCACACTGTCCTGGGTAACTGTACTATATTCTCTACAAATCTGATTTTAAAAAATGTGGTCCTCTGTAACAAACAGGGTTAAAGGCCTCGCTCCAAAGTGGCAGCTTGGTGGTGCTGGAGCTTCAAACCTTCTAACCAGTAACCTAAAACCTTCACTGATCAACCACCACTGTGCCTCCAAGTCTCATTCAGTGATCTGAGTTACACATTGCTCAGAGGTAATTTAATTTTGGGCTATTTATAGAAACCTAAGCTGAGTTTAAATGCAGAGATAGAGGGACGATTTATTCCACCCTTTCACTCAAACTCCAAAGGCCCTCTCTGAAGGCAGTGTTTGCTTCTCCTGTTGATATCAAAGGTTAATTTAAGCTAACTAAAAGACAAATATTGGCAGTTACAGGTGATTTTACACTAACCAAAGCATGATGGTGCATTCAGTTTCTGTCATAGATCCTCCCCAGATGCTACATGTTGGTCCTTTAAACGTACAATCTTTTATTTCTTCCACTAGGGGTCAACTTATCCAATGTGACTCAGTAAGGCCTTCTGTTCATGGACAACATGTCAACGTTTAATTTATGTTTAGTCACGTATATTTACCATTACGCCATTTAATTCTAATGAAATGGCTACAAGTGACGCTAGCTAACATAACAGTAATTGCTAATTTACCATACAGATACTGTAGCTAATGTTATGTGGAGAATTCATCACTTGTGGTCACAATGATCACACTTATATGACTATGAGCAGTACAAACAACAGAGCAGCTAGCTGGCTAGCTAGTTTACCTACTACTCCCTCACTTTCTTTATTGTTTACAAGTTGAGACGCAAAGACTATTTTCTCTCTTTCATCTTCTTCAATCTGCATTGTCTGATGATATATCGTCCAGTGTTTAAAGTGAAGATACGAACAAATAAAAAATATATATTTATGATTTTTTTTTTCACTGACAGTTTAAACATCATCAAAAAAATAAAAACAAACAAACAAACAAAAAAAACATTTGGGATAATGGAAGTACGCAAGTCAAAAAAGCACACTGGTCTACTTAGTTGTTTTTTTTTGTTTTTTTAAAAAAATGCATTTTAATGTTGAAGTGTTATACCTGTAAGTATGGAGCTGGCTACAGCAGGAAAAGATAAAAACAGTGTGTAAAAAGTTTTTTAAAATAAGTTTTATTAAGTCATTGGGACATATTACAATTCATTGTAGGACTATGTTACAGTTCATTGCAGAAATATTTAGTTAAATAAGTCAAATGTGGCTAAAAATATTCAAAACTATATATTTTTATTCTTATTGTGTCTTACATTGTGATTTAAGAAGTCAGTAACATTGAGGTCGCAATATTGACGCGGTACTCAAACCGGCCAGCAGGAGGCGCACAGCGTTACAGGAGCCTAAAACCCTACAGAGGCGACGCAGCCGAATAAATCCAACAAACTAATGTTTTCTACCTCGCTGTTCACACATCCAGGTGGGTTAATCCTCCTCTAACATCCATGTGTGTACCCCAGTGTGAGGGACAGAAGTGTTGTGAGTCCTTGGTTAAAACGTGCAGTGCTTAGAGCTGAGTAGTTTCGCGATCATGTGTTGAAATAAATATGTTTTGCTGTGTTCTGTCATGCTCGGCTAACGGGCCTGTTGCTAATTGGCGACAATGCTAATGAGAGTTTGTTCTGCTGCTAACAAAGCTAAAGGGCTAATGCGTATATTTAGCTTTTTGTTGACCTGTTTTCTTGTGTTTGTGACGAGCTTTTGGAGAGATGTGAATGCAGCTGATGTGTGAATCTTACAGTGAAGCAGGAGTAATATGATGATTAAAACAGAACTGCTAATGTGTGTGACATGAAAGAATAGAAACGTT